CACAGAAGATTTAACTGAGAGTTCATAATTTAATGGGCTAGGACGTTGGAAATCGTTTTATTTTAAAATCAAGCGAATCAGACCGTATTAAATTAACCACTTGGTTGTATTCGGCGTCTCTCTCTAAAATAAAATGGCATGGCCTTTTAATAGTTTTATTGTGTAAATATACTTTGACGTTCAGTATAAAAGTCCAAGGGCTGCTGATAATAATCGTGATGTTATTCCTGAAAATAACAAAATCTAAGTATCATAATTCGTATTAAATTGTCTACAGGAATCAACAGGAGATTTAGCGAAGAGTTCGGAATTTAATGGGCTAGGACTTTTGAGTTATTCTGGAAATCGCATTTTTATTGTAACAATCAAGAAATTTAGAACCAGACAAATTATATTAAATTAACCCCTTGAATGTATTCGGTGTCTCGCTCTCTCTCGCTCTCTCTCGCTCTCTCCGAGGCTATAGAAAATAAGACAAAAAAGTGCGGTATAAACCAGTCTGTGCATGTACACGTACGGTAGCTATTCGCTATAGCGCAGAGCGCTAGCATGGCAGGCCCACGCGGTGCACTGTTTACTGGTCAGTCGGATTCGACGTCGTAAAAATGCCAAGAAAACACCAATGGAGAAGGAACATTTTAGCAAGTTTATTCACAGAGCTTGATCTATCTTGTCTGTGTATGTATTTTCCGTGTTCAAGCGTTCATTTTGAGATGGCACTACTCTTACTTGGAGTGATACGATCCAGCGTGTTTCCCCAAAATTGTCCACAGTAAAAACGAGGTCTGTCGCCCGCTGGCCACACATGCATTCACTCATGAATTACGGAGTTTTGGCCAGTTTCCAGTCTTGACTAGCGTTAACTTTTTGTGGCATTTTTTGTGTAGCTTTCGTAGTGCAATGGAAAAAGTTCAGTCTAAAACTCCGCATATAATTGAATACCCCATTCAATCAGCATTAAAAAAAAAGGCAAAACAAATATTCCGACCGACCGACCCTATTTTGGAAAAGCATGTCATCAGAAGCAGAAGTATTTTTTGGCCTAAATGGGAATGACGATTTTCTTCGTTTATTAAAAAAGAACATTACAACAACAACAGCGCACGGCCTATTATTTTGTTTTAATGATACCCTAGAATGTACTTTAGAATATATTTGATTGTTCGATTAAAAGACCAAGGGCTGTTGGTAATCTTGACCCTCATTCCTTTAAAAATAAGAAAAACTTTAGAACAATTCATATTAAATAAAATCACGAATTCGCAGGATTTAACGAGGAGTTCAGAATTTAATGGGATGGGATGTAGGGAATTGTTTTGTTTCAAAAATCGAGAGGACCAGACAAATTTGTCTAGAATATATATTAAAAATATTCTTTGACGTTCAGTTAATGGTCCAAGGGATGCTGGTTACCTTGATATTATTTGTTAAGAAACTAAGCATAGTTCGTATTAAATGTTTCCCAGAAATCCACAGGATATTTAACGGAGAGTTCGTGTAGGTGTTTGTCGTTGTTTTACTTTAAAAAAACGACCAAGCACATTTTTATACATGTTCCCCGATTACAGCCGGGGAATAAAATAGTGTCCTATATATTCTTGTCTGGAAAGCCATTTCGAGACGATGATTGACAGGCGAACTTCAAAACTTATACATTGTATATATCTTTGATGATAAGCGGCCTTGGAGGTACTTGCACCATACATCGGTCAGCATGCCTTCTTGCAGCTGGAAAGATCGTGGTCAAAAGTTGATACACGATAGCAGATAATTGACTCAAGGATTTTACGACTGCATTATCTAACCACAAGTGCGTGTACTGGAACAATAAAACGATGTGTAGGCTGCTGCAGGAGGGAACGTTGTTTATAGAATCCATGAACGAAGGCAGGAAGTTTACAACCTTAGCCTGACGGCAGACTGTTTACCAATCGGATAAGCATGCCGTTTTGCGGCCTTTCGTCCAAACGCAACGAGATTATCGGGAGGATTATAGGTAACCATTGGTTACCGTTAACCGGTGGTAGGTTTACAATGATCGGTACTGTAGGCTCTGACATTTGGTAGAATGTTTGAGGTACACCAGAAATGAATGTGGATTGAGAAATGTTTTAGTATCTGCAATTTAATAAAGGAAATGATGTAATTAATTGAGGACATGTGTATCCTAAAACTGAAAGGGGAAATCCAGAGATTATGCGTATTAAATCAGTGAGGACAAGGCCGTAGGAAGCGGTACGGCAGGTACGGCTATGGCCGTACCAATAATGACAGGCATATCTTTCTTTTTAATGTATACAAGGCCTTGCATGGCCCCAAGGCTGGATTTTTCTTTTTTTGGTTTCTAGATGCTCTGTGGTGCGATCTGAGGCAATTTCTGACCACTTTAACAATTTTTTTTAAAGAAAAAGATGGTGGTGTATGCAGTACCTGCCTCTATTGCGACGAAACTGAAAAAAAAAAATGGCTTCCATTTTTTTTGGGGGGGGGGGGGGCATGGCCCCCGTTGCCCTCCCCCAATTTTTTCTTGTGTTGTTTTTGTGTTTTGTTTTGTTTTGTGTGTGTGTTTAAAGGGAAAGGGCGTAATCATACATGTCGCCACTAGGCCTACATGTTAAGTTAAACGGAATGGCGATTAGCCGCCACCATGAATTTTAGTTGTCCTCAGATTAGTACTTGTGTTTTCTTAAAAAGAAGTGGTTTTCTAAATGAGAAAATAGCAAGGAAGAACCGGTTTTGTGCAAGCAAAATTCAGGAAATAATCCGTTAAAGTTAATATCTTGTTGGAAAATTCCAAAATCATTTAAAGAAAGTAATTACCGCTGTGAATCAGAGTTTATGAAGGAACGGAAAGTGGGATTTGCTATCAACAAGACCGTTCGTCATTCTTTACCTGATGGGATGTGAATCAATTGGAGGATGAGAGACTCTGCGAGCTGATGTATTTTTTTTAGAAAAAAAAAACTTAACAAATACGCTCGGCAGTTCAATCATGTACGTATACACTGTATCCATACCGGTGAATTAAATTTCTAAAAAATACATCAGCCGGCAGAGCCTCTCGTCTTCCAATTTGATTCACATCCCATAAAAGGTAAATAATGAGGAACGGCCCTGTTGATGCTGATAGCAAATCCCACTTTCCGTCCCTTCATAAACTCTGATTCACGGCGGCAACTTTCTTGAAATGATTTTGGAATTTTCCAACAAGATATTAGTATCAACGGATTATTCCCTGAATTTTGCTTGCACAATACCGGTTCTTCCTTGCTATTTTCTCAGCTACAAAACCTCTTCTTTTTAAGAAAAACACAAGTACAAGTCTGAGGAAAACTAAAATTCATGGTTAAATTCCATTTAACTTAACGTGTAGTGCATGGCGACATTTATGATTACGCCCTTTCCCTGTAAACACAATCATGGATCAAGCTAAAGAGCACAAATCTAGAAAGAGAGTCAAGCTACAGTTTTGATGTGATGCTTGTGATGTAATTTATCATCTTTGATGACCCACCCACTAAAACACGAATACATTTCAAAGTCAGGGGAAAGTGGCCAGAAAATGCCTCAGATTGCACTACAGAGTATCTAGATCCAAAAAAAGTTTTGCGATGAGCAAATGTCCAAAACTTTTCACTACGATAGGCTAAATTTTGACGAATCCTATGTAAAGTTCATCAAGTGACATATACTGGTTAAACTTGCAGATGTGCAGTGCTCCAAAATGTGTCTTGTACAAATTACGAAGATAATATGCATGCATAGATACATGCATAGTGTTGGGGGGGGGGAGTGGCTTTTGGTTACATTTGAGAGGGATTGGGTCAAATCCTGGATCTGCCTCTGCAGGCCTGCCAACTCTAACACATTGAGCGTAAGATTATTTCAGGTTATTCTCATGCTTTAACGCCGACATGGGATTTCTCACGCAAAAAAAATATATATATAAAAAGATAATTGACTTCAAACTTGAAAATGATGTTTAAATGATGATAGCTCAAAAAAAGGTTAAAGTGGTCAGAAATTGCCTCAGATCGCACCACAGAGCGTCTGGAATCCAAAATTGTTCGGGGCCCTTAAGCGGGCTCCGAACCCCACGCCGTTAGGGCTTCGCGCTACGCGCTCGCATCAACTGAGCTCCCTGCCCTGAGATGAGCCTGACCAATAAATTTTAGCTTCCTACGGGCCTGAGTGAGGAACTGAATCAACCTATTTAGACTGTCATTGAGGCGACCAAAATCAATTCAGACCACAGGCCGAGACTGAGGTAACTTACAAAAACCTCCCAGGAAATGACCGAGTTATCTCAAGTCGTCGGCAGGTAGAGAAAAACCCGAAACATCTCAGAGAATGAGACAGTCCTGTATGAGGTGCTTGAGTAGACTAGACATGGAAAAGAAGAGCACGGAACTCCCCAATAGACATTTTGGGAAATGGTTACTGAAAATAAATTATCCGAAATTTCAGGGCCAGTTTTGTTATAATCTCAAGGGGTGCACATTGATGCTTGAAGGGGGACATTTATGTCCGCAAGAGGGGCACTTGGGTAAATCTAGGGGGGGGGGGCAACCCCCACCCCAGATTTACCAAAAATTTATGCGGCCAGTGCGGAGTGCGAAACCCTTACGGCGTGGGGTCCGTGGCCCACTTAAGGGTCCCGGAAAATGTTGGATTCTGGATGCTATGTGGTGCAATCTGTATTTAATGGGGAAAATGTCATGAAATATTATTGATGAAATATCTATCCGACAAAATGTAGCATAAGGCCAATTAGTGATCAGTTACTTCTCCTCCATAAGAAAATGAATGATAAGTTAGGAATAGAAATGTCTTATCACCGCATCATAAATAGAGTGAACAAAATAACAGTTACAGGATTTTATGAGGCTGGTTTCAAACTCTATTATTTGCAACAAATCAAAGGGAAGCTCATTGTGGCAGGAAGCACAAAATAACAAAGTTTTGTTCAAGTGAACATATTAAGCCTTAGTTTAGAAGAATTTAAAAGGAATAAAATAATTACTTTTTTTCTGATCAATTTAACGAGTCTACTCAGTTTGAGAAAATCCTTGACTTACGTAAAAAGAGGAAATCATTGTCGTTTTCTAACATTACTTCCCTTTCTCTCAAAATATTTTCTTTTAAAAATGTAAGAGGAAGTCGAAGTTGTTAATGACATCACTTTCCTTTGTCTTAAAATACACTGGTTTTTAATGCCCCATAAAAGGTAATTTTTTTAATTAATAGTCAACCACTTCCGTGATTGTGGATGTGTTGTGATGTCTGATTGGATAAAAATATTACACCCTGGATATGATGGGAGGGGCAGAGACAAGGAAGCAGACGATTGAAAAAAAACTGGCTATTTAGACTTTGTGTCTTCTTCAAGAGCTTCAAAACTCCATGGCTAATCATAGTGGATAGTACATCTTGAGTGGGGCTATGCAATAAGGACTGAGAAGCTGAAACCAATCATTTTACCTGCAGTTCAAGGTGGATGCTGTCCTCAGTGATGTACGAGCCTTCAACCTGCCAAGCTTGATGTGAAACCACCGTTGTTCTTTGTTCTACTGAACTTGTTTTCCTGTGCATCTGACCTCATCAGAATTGTGTGAGGACATACCATTTCCACACGCAATCAGCAGCAAAATGATGCTAGCCAGCATGATGTCTCCAATTGGTTTAGTCCTTGTGATGCTTCTCTATACAGCTGAGGGGCGTTTCACAAGCCATCCAAGGAGTCAGACAGTATATGAGGGGCAACATGTCAGATTTACTTGCGGATCAGCATACATGATTCTTTGTCATTATCCAAGTTTCCGTTGGTATAGATCTACCACTAGTCACCCATCACAACAATATGTTTCTGGTTGTATCCAGGTTGATCCTAGTTTAAGGAATCGTATGACTGTTGAGCTTGATATACTAACCAGGGTGTTTCACCTTGACATCCAAAACGTGCAGCTGCAAGATGGCGGACAATACTGGTGTCAATTATTCTATTTTCAGAACAGCCAATCAAATAGAAACTCTTCAAAAGCCACACTGACAGTAATCCCACGACCTCCTCCTTCTTGCATGGTAACCAGTCCGTCAAACCACAAAGTGGGTGACAGTGTTTCATTTACATGCACCTTGGCAGAGACTGACCCATCAGCTGCTATAACTTGGTACATTAATTCATCAAGTGGCCATCATCCACTCTCTTCAATCCGTGAGGTCCGAGAAGGTCGCGTTTCAAGAGTTAATCGAGTACTGCAAGCAACCGACAACATGAAGGAGTTTGTTTGCGTGGCTGGTCCAGACTTTAACACTGGCCCAAGATGCTCAGTTACACCTCTGCAGATACCAACGAACGTTTCCATCTCACCAACTTTTCAGTCTGTATATGAGGGAGACAGTGCAGTGTTCACGTGTAATGTAGAAGCGATACCCCCTCCAACAGGCGAAGAGTACAGATGGCGAATATATAAAACTAATGAATCAGGTGTGACAGATCAAGGTGTTATGCTGACTAGTTTTGATGGCCGATTTAACATGATAGGGAATACTCTGGAGATCCTTGCAGTGTCTACTGACTTTCATAACTCTTATGTAACTTGTAGAGCCATTTATCCTCAAGGTTCTTCCATCAGCATCGATGGGTCTCGCCTTACAGTTCTCAGTGTTACAACTGTGCTATCCCCTACATCATCTGCAGCCACGGCAACAATACAGGAGACCAAGGATCCAAATGTCCCTGAAACCGAAGAAACTCACTTTGGGGCGAATACTCCCAACCAACGTTCCACTAGCAGTAGCATCATGGCCACAATTTCTTCAAATGAACCCAAACAGGACGGTGATACATCTCAGAAATTGCCAATTGGTGTTCTCGTTGGAGGAGCGCTGGCTATTCTTCTCCTTTTGGTTACCATCCTCCTCCTTGTCTGCTTCTTGGTCAGGAACAAGAGGAATGTCAGGAGACCGAGACAGGTAGTTACTGGGAGTCCCGTGCAGGAATCTGCAAGGCAAGACATAGTCACCGCTGGGTCTTCAGTGGAGACTGACTTGGCATACTTAAACCTTCCAAGAGATTACCTAAGGCAACCAACCCGAACCAACATGTTGCCTGAAGAGACCACAGAGTGCGAGGGGGACCTGTACGCCATTCCAGACAAGACCGGGAGCAGAGAGGTGAAGCATTTCACCATGACGCCACCGGCCAACAAGACCAGCACCGGCCCTGGGTTTGTCAGTCTTCCCCGTAACACGGAGCCTGCGTCTTCAAACGGACATGGTAGCCACGAAATGGTAGTCTATGCTCAGGTGAACAAAAACATCAAGAGGTACCCCAAACCATCTGCAGACAAGCCCGCAGTTGGCGATACCCAAGAGATGGCATCATCACTCCAAGACCAAGCATCACGAGATGAGGACACGGAGGAACCCGAATACGCAGACTTGGACTTTAATCAAGTTCCTCAAGGAGCAGCGGGAATCGACGCCATCTACGCCAAACCCCACAAAGGCCCCAAGAAGTAGCCCCAGACGGCCTCCACTCCCAGTGACTAAGGTACTGCACACATAGCATCTCTAACACATCACCAAGTGAATCACAAAGATGAAGTCAGAGGGCAAAAGATTGAAAAAAAAATAAAAATTATTTTTAACTGGTATTCATAAAGTGGATGTATGTAGGCTCTGACATTTGGTACAATGTTTGAGGTATACCAGAAAAGATTGTGGATTTAGAAATGTTTTAGTATCTGCAATTTAATAAAGGAAATAATGTAACTAATTGAGGACATGTGTATCCTAAAACTATAAGGGGAAATCCAGAGATTATGAGTATTAAATCAGTGTGGAACTAAATCAACCTATTTAGACCGTCACTGAGGCGACCAAAATCAATTCAGACCACAGGCTGAGACCGAGATAACTTACATAAACCTCCTAGGAAATGACCGAGTTATCTCAAGTCGTCGGCAGGTAGAGAAAAACCCGAAGACATCGTAGAGAATGAGACAGTCCTGTATGAGAAAGTGTCTGAGTTGACTAGAAATGGAAAAGAAAAGAGACCACGGAACTTCCTAATAGACTAATCCATTATGCTCCTCCCCATGATGTGTTGACCAATCACAGTGGTGGTTACTGTCCGACATGCCGCACAAAAGTCTGACGTGTGCATGTGTGTACAACGTGTGCAGCTGGAATATATGCAAAAGCGGCATTGAAGTCAGGTGCGCATGTTGTTACCCACGGGCCGGGCGGGGCTAATAACCCTAATCTTCCTCAACCTTCCAAAATCAACCAGGCGTTTTGTGGGATATTTTAGGATTGAGGCTGTATGCTATTTTTGTGCCAGTTGATTTTCGAGGATGCTTTGTGTCAAGGTTGTATAAGCTGCACCCTGTGTTGTTTATGCCTAGCCATGCATAAATGATGCCTAGATTATACTAGATACCATCCGCACTGCTTCTGGATATCGGCTGATTTCTCATCATTTTTTTTGTGGCATGCCAAGATAAAATTCTAACATGAATGTTTCTTGTGGTGACTACGGTTAAGAAATTCTGTCAAAAATCATAGTATTTCCCCCAAAGTGTGTAAACCCAAAGTGTACTTTTTCAAAGCAAGTTGACATCTGTTTCCAATATGGAAGTTAATCTCACTATTATCATTTTATTGAAAGGTTTTGGTCGTAATAACTTTATCCTCACAGGAAATTGATGTCAATACCGCACAGTTGCAATTTCTGAAACACCTGTTTGGTTTACATATTTTTGTATTCATCATCATCATCATCATTAGCCTAATTCAATCCACTGCTGGATGAAGGCCTCTCCACTAACTTTCCATGCTTTTCGATCCCTTGCCAGTTGTTTCCATTTCTTCCCTATGAAGTCAGAGATTTCATTTCGCCATCTCTTAGGCTGTCTTCCTCTTCGCCTCTTCAATGATAATGGCGTTCAATCCGTTACTTTCAGGGTCCATCTGTGGTTGTCTCTTCTCATTACATGCCCTGCCCAACTCCACTTTTTCTTTTTGATCTCAACTATTATGTCTTGCACCCCTGTCTTTCTTCTATGATCTTCGTTCCTTATTCTGTCTCTCTTTGTGACCCCAATCATTATTCTTTCCATTGCCCGTACGGTGACTCGCAATTTTTGCTCTGATTTCTTTGAAGGTGCCCAAGTCTCAGCGCCATATGTTAAAACCGGGATGATGCACTGGTTGAAGAGTTGACGCTTCATCTTTTACAGTATTTTTCTGTCCTTGAATATGTAACTCAACTTGCCAAATTTTGCCCATGCAAGTTGTATTTTTGTATTAATAAGTTCTAAATTTGTATGTTTTATTCTAGCCCCCAAAACACCTTGTTTTTTTCCCTTTTACAGACATCTGTAACCCTCTGAACAAAAACAACGGTTTTTCTTTTAGGCCCAAACAGATCCACTTTGCAATAAGACTGGCTCCCGTTTCGTACATTATCAATACTAATTGTGGGACAGGAACCAGCCTCCCCCACGAAAACGAAATTATTTTCTGATAACCAATAATTCAAAATTTAAACAATAATTAAATTGTTTTTTGCAAATGTGTACCATTTTTTTTAATCGATTTCTTGTTTAAAACTTCATTACTTTTGTATTGCTTGAAAAATAGCAATTTAGAAAAGGAATCTATTTTTTCAAGATTAAACTAGTGGTGGGATTGATATTCGGTTTGAATTCCACTATTCGGTTTGGATTTTAAAAACCGGATATTCGAAACATTCCATTTTTGGTGACATGGGCTAAAGGAAACAACTGGAACATCCCCCAATGTGCTCCATGGTCTCTGATTGTGACTGCATTCACTTGTTAGTGGTCTTCTTGCTTCATGAATTGCCTGCCCATTTAACTGTTCAGAGAGTTCCCACCCGTATTTTTTTACCATTACAGCTCTGGGAAACTGTGTTGCGTCACATTTTTTTGGCATGACTGTGGGCTGAATGGAAAGTTCCATTGAAATCTGATAACAGTTATTCGGTTTAAAAAAAAATATTGGTAATTGGATTTTAAAATCTCCGATTTTTTTAAATTTCCGATTTTAGGCCGAAAAAAAAAAGAAGTTTCCCGTCCGGGTTTTTGAAAAAAAAGGAAGCGAGGCTTTTTATTTTTTTATTTTTTAATTTTTTTCAAGATGACTGCCATTTTTAAATTTCCTGCAACTGTTGGTGTTTCCACTGTTCAAAGACACTTCTAAAATGAAAGACAAGTTGGACAAGAGAACTGAACATATTTACAGTGTCATTAAGAGTTGTATTGGTATTGGTATTTATTTTCCAATGAATTTGTGGACTTATTGGTGTTTTTTTACTGCATTTTCAAAAATAATAAAAAAATCCAGGCGACCTCCAAAAAGGAAGCGGGCGGGGATGAGAAATATATTTATTTTTTACTTTGCCTTAGCAAACTAGCACTGGGAGTGCAACTTTAAAATAGTTAAGATTGGAAGAGAAGGTGGCTTTTTATTGAAGTTAAGCAACCTTGACTTAAAGCAGCAGCAGGATAGGAACCCAGACCACTTATTGCTGGTTATATCCATAGCTGGATGTGCACGATTAAAAAATTTACACCTTGAATAAAGACTACACTGAAACTGGTACTCATCTTCAGTATCTAACGCCGTTAACCCTGCTGCCAGTGCCCTCAGTATTAGTACATCTGAGGGTCCCCATGCAAATAGACACTAGAGAGTTAGACGTCACAAATCTACAAATATGATTGTTAACAAACAGAACGTAACGCCTTTGTTGAAATAGTGCATAAAGTTCATTGGAAATATTGTTAAACAGCTAATGCATGTGTTTGTACGTCACTGACATTATGTTTGTCAATACAACCTCGTGCCCAGGGGTTAATGTATTGTCAACCTTGTTTCCAAGAGTTACCCCTGGTATGGAAACTTGCTTCCTGTCGATACAGCAATAGCAAGTAATGGATTTATAACGTGTACTTGGTGTTTTTATTTCCAACGTGTATAACGTAAAACGTGTTTTAACTATCAATGTGGATTATTATCTCCACTCTGAAATAATTGATTATCTCTCCCCTACGCCTTTTCACCATGCACTGCCAGTACTAATACATGCATGTGTATGCCCCCCCCCCAAAAAAAAGCCAACGCCCATCATGATCAACCCCCTTTTTTTTTAAAACATAGCCAACCAGTTCAGATATTATTTTTTAACTGTTTTTGCTTTCAAATTTGAATAACAAAACATGAAAATGCAGAAAATGTTATGGAAATGACTTTTTCTTATATTGCTATCAAATTACATGTAAATTTACCCTCCCCCACCCAAAGAGAAACATGAAGATTTTTTTTTAAAATGTAAAAAATTAAACCCTTTCTTCTTCCATGTTTGCGACAGGGAAAGACGATCTGAGCATGTGCGAGATGAACCTGGAACAGACCGGTCTATCGCGCAAGGCCGGCGCCGAGATCGTCCAACGAGAATTTGAAGAGGAGTGGAACCGACATGGTGGGCGCCAGCTATTAATGGAAGGGATACGCATGGGGCAGGCCCGCAAGACCTTCGCAACCGAGTCACTACGTATGTAACGCCACTCTCGTTGGGCTGATAGCTAGATTATCAAAATCCAACATTAATTGTAGAATTTTTGTTTCAATTTGAGCGTTGCCGTTAATTGTTGCAATGGTCTGGTTTTTTTAACAGCATGGAAAAATAGTGTGCATAGAATAAAGCTGCTGTGTGTTATTTCAAGGCGTAATAGGATCATTTTCATTTCATCAATTTTGTTAGTTTTTAATAATAACACTGGAAATATAGTATTCAAAACCTAACCTGTTGAAGTTTCAGCTCAGTGGGTAATACACTTTTCGAGAAAATAATTTTAAAAAACATTCACAGCCTTCCATCACGAAACACAATTTCTTCATTAGCGCTCGTTATTTCCAAAAATCAGTCAATTGACTGATCGTTGGAAATCATCTGCATGTCTTGAATTCTTCTAAATGCCAGCAAGTCAGACAGAATAATTTTGTTGGTCTAATATTGTTAAGCCCAACCATAGCCCTGAACCACCCGAATCCGTCAAATTTTACCAGTAGGTTTTGAAAGATTTTGTGGGTTTGAGGACGGTAGAGCCCAGCCACTGTCTGATAACTACATGGGTCTAAAATTCTATGAAAGTTGACTACAAATAATTCATAGTTAGTTTTCGAGGACTTTGTGAGATTGTGTGGGATTTGTGATTTTTTTTGTAAGATTTGTGGGATTTTGTGGGATTTTTGTGAGAATTTATGAAGGTTCTCAGCACAGTGCCCAGAAAGTTTGTTTTAATAGCTTACTACAATCAAGTAAATTGGTGTGAATTGTTCTCCACTTTCGTTGCACACTCGCACACAGAAATTAAACTGTATTTTTATGGAATAACCTTTTATATTAAAAAAGGTTGAAAGATTAAAATGACTTAAGTCAAAACAATTTTCACAGGGACTCAAAAACCTAAAGAATTCTACATCGATTCCTT